GCCCAGTGTGAGTTTAAGCTACTGGGTCTGGGACTCGAACCATGGTCAACTACGTGGGAGTCCAGCGACATAGCCATTATGCTAACTGCTGGTCCCTACTTTTTCACTTTCTCTCACTCCCTCTCATTTTCTCTGGTGAGCATACATACTCTATAGCAAATTACATAAAAACAATTAATAAAATTAAATAAATGTTCTTAAGAAATAAAGGGGACAGCAAGTGGTATGGTGGTTAAGGTACTGATCTCCCACCCGGCTGACCACAGTTCAAGTCCCAGACTCGGAAACTTGAAACTCACACAAGGCGTGTGTGCATGCGTGTCCAAAATCCCGAGAAGAGAATGTAGGGAAGGGACTGTGGTATGGCTCCCCCACAATCCCTTGAACCGCGGCCAACTACATGGGAGTTCAGCAACACAGCCATTGCGCTAACTGCTGGTCCCAAAGAGACTAACATGTCAAAAAAAGTTGTTTTTTTTTTTCCTTTGAGAGGTTTTTCACTATAGGGCACGTGCGCTCGCCAGACAGACAGAGAGAGACATAGAGACAGAAAGCAAGAAATCACCTCCCAGGGGGAATGGTCATGCGTCAATCCCTTTTACTCCATTCTCCTCTCGGGATCTTGGGCACGCACGCACATGCGCCCGGCGTGAGTTTTAAGCCACCGGGTCCGGGACGTGAACCGCGGTCGACTACGTGGGAGTCCAGTGACATAGCCATTACGCTAACTGCTGGTTCCCAAGTTGTTGTTTTATTTTTTATCTTAAATTTTTGACAAACCACAGAGACACTGAGTTGCAGCTCTCACCAGCCAGGTTCTCTGGCTACTGTCATATCGGCAAGGAAGACTAAGCACAGTGAACACAGTGACTTCATGGAACTGAAGCCAGAACGTTTCAGCGGGGCCAATTACCCTTTTCTGGAGACGCTCCCAGGAGATGGGGCGACACTGCTAGTTACTGTCGGGATTGTGGGCCAGGTCAGGGCCAGAAACGCTGGCCCCTGGGACCTGCCGCTCCTACTAGCCCTGCACTGTCGGCTGAGCCTGTGCAGGGGGACATGGGCGGCCCCCCAGACCACCACACTCACTCCTCTAACCTACTTGGGGTCAGGGCGTGGCAGGCAGCTCCGTGCATCATGAGTAAAATCTACGACCTGCCCATCATCACAGAGACCACAAGAGACCTGCCCCCACAGTCTGGCCCACGCAGCCTCCCCAGGAATGTACCCCCCTTCTCCCGTGCACATTCCTCTCTCCAGCTCAAGTCCCACGTCCCTCCTTGAGAAGCTGCTCAAAAAGACGAAACCCGCCGACCCTGCCTCCACAGCAGGAGCCTCGGCCCCTCAGCACCAAGAGCCAGGCCACCCTCACTTC